GAAGATGGGCTTAAACAGTACACGGGGTCAGTAGGAGGTTTCTTTTCATGACCTAATTAGCGCGCAACTATGTACGGAGTAATACTTGGGACTTAGGAGGGAATATACGATAGTAAGGGAGTGTTTGCAACTGCTTAAAAAAAAGCACTTCTCAGCTTTTGGCTTTAAAAAGCACTTATTTACCAAACACTACTAATTTTTACTTTTTCTCGGCTTGCGTGTGAAAAGTGCTTTTCCCTTTTCTATTACACAAAAAGCACTTATTTTACCAAATACTACCAACTTTTACTTTTCAAAATCACTTTTTTCTCAAACACTATCAACTTTTACTACTAATCACTTTTTCCTTACATCTCCAAAAGTGCCTTTTTTTAAGCAGAAGCAGTTGCAAACACTCCCTAATTAAGGTTGAAATTTTGGCGTTGTACTTATTTTATTTAATTAAACTATTTTACTATTTGGATTAGTTCTTTAATCGGTAATGACGACAATTACATATTGATTAATAACGACAACTTATGGCATATGGTCGTTAAAGATAAATTTAATAACGACGAACTCATTAGTTGACGTTAAAAGATACTTTTAACGACGAATTTTGAGAGTCGTCGTTATATGTTGGTCGTTAAAGATCGTTTTTCTTGTAGTGTAGGAGGTGGCGATATTTTCCCCAATAGTATGAAACTTATTTATATTATACCATAGTACGTAGTATATACTTCCTCCGTCCCTAAAACAACTTCATCAATTTCCTTATTTGGATGTATCAAAATAAACTTTTCACTTCCATATTTGGCAAATTATCTACATCAAAACAGTGTCAAAACAGTAAAATTTACCCCTCAGTAAACTTATTTCCATAAAATGTGTGTAAATCAAAGAGGGAAGTTCTTTCGAGGGCGGAGGGAGTAATAATGTGGCTCAGCTCACAAAACTTGTATTTTATCATTTACTCTGTAATATTTATCACACCATTTTACTTCTTAAACGATTGATGTTAAACTCCGTCTTCCAAACTTTAAGGGAAGGGTTGTGGTGAGGAAAAGAATTAATTTCACTTTAGGTCTTCCGAGTTTTGTGTCATGCATGTACATATTTAGTCCTCATCTTTCATTTTATCCATTTTTGGTACCTACTATTGTTTTCTTGACCATTTTCGGTCCATCTCTGGACATTTTTACTACCATAAAAGGACTATATATTGTCAAGAAAACAATAGTCAAGTACCAAAAATGGATCAAGTAAATGACGAGGACTAATTGCAGAATTGGTGCAAAACTCGAAGGACCATAAGTGAAATTTCTTCGTTAGGGAAAAAGGCCTCTAGGTAGAATTCGATTGAGATGTAAATACTCAACTTCACTACTTTTATCCAATTGACCTCTACTAAATCCTTGAGTATAGAGTACGATAAATGTTGTACAATTATAACTTTTAAATTTAAGCTTGGTAGTAAATATTACACCCGTCCTGTGATTAAATTCCTAATTTGACTTTAGAGTATCTGAGGGCTCTCAGCATGTCTTTCATCAAAAGTATAAACGAGAAAGTTAATACGGAGTAATTAATGTTGCACTTTTTTGTTATGATGCACCTTTCATAGGGATAATTATAAAGAGTATTTTACCATGCGAATGTTATCAAAAAGAGAAGCAGAATTTGGTTATGGGACATCGTAACAAGAGAAGTGGAAATGTAATTGAGAAATGCCAGAGGTACCCCATTTTCTACCTCATTTTGTATCTCATCCTATGTTTGTGGCTCACAAAAATCCAACCCAATTAAAATAATTGCTCCATTTTAACTCATTGCTTTTGTGAACCACAAAAATAGGAGGAGGTACAAAATGAGGTACAAAATGGGATAGCTTTAGCATTAGTGAATGTAATTTCGGGGCTATGAATGAATACTTTTAAACCAACTAAAGTATAAAAGGTTTTTTATGTGACAATGTTTTGAATGCCATTGGAGAAAGACAAGTACAAAAGTGTGTGTTTTATTTAGTACGGGGTACATAGCAAATTAAAGATGTGGGGGTCATAAAACTTGCACAATCAATAATGTGACTTAACTCTACCTACACACTTGACACTACTATCCAACAAGATTGTGTATGTCAATGTCGCTTGAGATTCGACTGATGACTATTGATGAAGGCAATGTTGACTATTCTTGATAAGCTCGAGTTTTAGTCGATTGTATTCCAGCAAAATTCGACACTATTTATGAAGGAAACCTTGACTATTCTTATCCTTTAACCTGTAATCATATGACTTGTTCACTAGTCATAATGTAACAGTTAGCTAGCAAGTAGCAAATTCCTTTCAATATTGCCCAAAAATATCCCAAAATAAGAGTGAAGATTGTGACATAGTGTTATACTCAAATATTCATATCTTTCCATTTCTAAATCTTCTCATCATACCCTCAATAAATTTAAAAATAATACACTATTACAACTATTTTTTTGGATTTATCCTTCAATCCAGCACATTATTTCATTATGTTCTCATCATATACCCTCAATAATTTATACGGAGTATCTCCTTTCACGATTCTTAATCTCACCAACTTTGGAAGTGGGAAGATATATGTGATAGGAGTATCAGATAAGGTGAAGGGGGCTGGGGGCATGCTTGGCTCCACCAACTCCAAATTTCAAATATCTTTATTTGTTAGTGTATAAATTTAATGCAAATGTTTCTCCAAAAAACTCTTTGTACCGGTCCGACCTGACATAGACCCTAACTTGACTATACCACGATTGTTATCATCGTAAAATTATATTATCATATTTATTACTATCTCCGTAATATTGATATCTTCCCATATGAGAGTAGATGAGATTAAGAATAGTGAAAGGAAATATAAATTATTGAAGGTATGATGTAAAAATGAGAGAATATTGTGGTGAAATGAAGGATAAATCCAAAAATGTAGTTGTGTACATTTTCAAAATTATTGAGAGTATGATGATAAGATTTAGAAATGAGAATATATGAATGTTACGGATGAAAAAGAAAAGTGAAAAGATATGAATGTTACGGAGGAAGTATTAGCAAACATTATATATATGACAGTTTAAAATCCAGGGTTTTGATAAAAGGAGTGTCTCAAAATCTTATATAGTCTTTTATTGTTTTATGCTTTTATAGTTTTCCGGTGTGGGACAATCATTTAAGAGACGGTATTGATTTTTTATCAAATTGTGCTAATTATGGACAATTTATGATTATCAAATCCGTATACTCCGTATATGATTTCCGCATGCAAATATAGCGCCGTTAATGATTTAGCTTTGCTTAACCATATCTATGTGACTTCTTCCACAGTTCCACCCCTGCTTTCGACATTTCTCATGTTAATTAAGATTACATGTTTGAATTCTAACCCACCTAAAAATATCAACGAGGAGACATATGATTACTTTATGGGAAATAATTTCTAAATAGGAGTAAAAAAGTTTGCAAATTTTAAAATATGACTGTTATGTTTTAATTTTCAAAATAGGAGTAATTATTGTCAAGTTGGAAAATACTACGTATAATGTTTAAAGTTCGGTATTGCCAAAATATGACACTAATTCGTCCAATTTTTGGAATAAAAACATTATAGTCCTATTTTGAAATAAACAAACGTTTTTTGTCTTATTTTGGGCAATTTCTCATTTATGATTGACCAGATATTACTAAATGAATTACGGAGTATGAATTACGTACATTTATTTCTTTTAAGATTTTATTGTTATTTCTCATCACTTAGTATAATCATTTATTAGTTGACCTCTTGTGATGGTTAAATTTATGTATGTTAGAGAACAGGAGTGTTTGCAGTTGCTTAAAAAAAGTGCTTTTCAGCTTTTGGCTTTAAAAAATCTGAAAAGAGTGTTTTCAAATGACAGCTTCTGCTTAAATTAATCACTTAAAAGCTAAAAGCTGGAAGACAAGTAGAAGGGTGCTTTAAACTGCTTTTCACTTTTTCTATTACACAAAGAAGTACTTATTTTACCAAACACTACCAACTTTTACTTTTTCAGAATCACTTTTTTTCTCAAATACTACCAACTTTTACTATTAATCATTTTTCCCAAAATCACTTTAAAAAATAACTTTTTTGAAGTTGAAACAATTGCAAACACTCCCAACATAGTTCTTGTTTAAATTTTGTTTTCTACAATATTGACAAATAGCATTCAAAATAAGTTTACATAAATTGACAAAATTCGTTCATAACTAAAAACTTTATGGATTCAACATTGTATAATCTCTAAGAATGTACTGATCAAAAACCTCTATACGAATTCGATCATATATAATACCCTTCTTACACTCGGATTGTCTAAATGGCTTGACTAGCGTGATTTAAAACCTATTGCATTTGGTTAGATAATTTGTGTAAAAATTTAATATTGTAGATAAACTTTGCCTACAAGTATCCCCGAGTAACTTAGGGTTGGTTTGCAACTGCTTTTAAAAAGGGGAAAACTGTCAAATAGATCCTCGAACTTTCATAAAAAGGTCAATTAAGTCCTTCTATAGGACGTTCTGTCCGGCCGTCGTGATTTGGGGCAGTTCCTGGTGGAATTTTTTGATGAAATTTTTTGAGCATCTTATTCACCAAGTCTAGTTTACTCATACCAAATTTTAGCTAAAAATTCAATCGGGAACACATTCAAATTAATTCTTGAAGATAACTGCGCATTTTTGCGTTCTCGAATTAATTTGAGTGCGCTCCCGATTAAATTTTTAGCTGACATTTGGTATGAGTAAACTAGACTTGATAAATAAGAAGCTCAAAAAATTTCCTCAAAAAATTCCACCGGGAACCGCCCCAAATCGTGACGACCGGACAGAGTCTCCTATAGAAGGACTTAATTGACTTTTTTATGAAAGTTCGAGGACCTATTTGACAGTTTTCTCTTTAAAAAAGCACTTCTCAACTTTTGGCTTTAAAGAGGAACTTATTTTCCCAAACATTACAACTTTTATTTTTCTCGGCTTCTGCGTCAAAAGTGCTTTTACTTTTTCTATTACACAAAAAACACTTATTTTACCAAACACTACCCACTTTTACTTTTCAAAATCACTTTTTTCTCAAATACTATCAACTTTTATTTAAGGAGTGTTTGCAGTTGCATTAAAAAAGCGCTTTTCAGCTTTTGACTTTAAAAAAGCTGAAAAGAGTGTTTTCAAATGACAGCTTCTGCTTAAATTAATCACTTAAAAGCTAAAAGCTGGAAGCAGGTGGAAGGGTGCTTTAAACTGCTTTTCACTTTTTCTATTACACAAGAAGTACTTATTTTACCAAACACTACCAACTTTTACTTTTTTAGAATCATTTTTTTATCAAACACTACCAACTTTTACTATTAAGTACTTTATCCAAAATCACTTTTTTAAAGTAGAAGCAGTCACAAACACTCCCTTAATCACTTCTCCCCATTTCATTAAAAAAAAGCATTTTTTTAAAAGCAGAAGCTGTTGCAAATAGACTCTTACCAAGATTTAGTGATCAATTATTAATTAGTATAAAATAGAAGATCGTATACAAAAAATTTATGGAACCCTATATGACTCCACTGTGGAATCATATAGCTCATGTGACCTCAGATCAACCATTCATTTATATAGTGTATTTGTACTCCATAATAGATTACTCCATTTCATAATCGAATCATGAATGGTTGTGATGATGCCACATGTGTTAACTCCTACTTATTCCCTCCATAACTTAAAAACCTTCCTACTTCAAAAGTAGGTAGATTAAGAATAGTGAAAGATGATATGAATTATTGAGAGTATGATGGTAAGATAGTGAAATAATTTGATGGAATGTAGGATAAATCCAAAAACATTAGGAGCCCGTTTGATAGCACGAAAATCGGCTGTTTTGGCTGTTTCTGCTGAAATTTATGAAGTTCTGGCTGAAGTGGCTGTTTTGTCTGATTCTGCTGATTCTAGAAAAAAATATTTTAAAAATATATTTTATTAATAAAATAAAGAAAAAATTACATGTAAAAATAGCTAAAATGGTCATCTACAGTAACTTCAGCCAATACAACCAGAAAAGTAACTTCAACCTTACTTTTTCTGCTTATTACACAATTCAGCACGCGAAAGTAAAAATTACGTGTTTGGTGAAAAAGATGACTGATAAGCCTGATAAGCCGAAAAAAGGGGTCTCCAAACGGGCTCTAGTTGTAATAGTGTATTAATTTCAGAATTATTAAAGATATGATGGAAAGATTTAGAGGTTGAAAGATTTTTTTGTTACGAATGAAAAGGAAAGTGGAGAGATTTTTTTGGAGGAATGGTTCCAAATAGGACCAAAATAAAGCTATTGTAACTAAATAGGACTTGGATCTTTTTTATACTTAAATACGACTAAATTTTTCTCGGCACCCTAAATTACCCCTGCTGCCAAAGAACGATTGATGAGGGAATCGTCTGCGCATAGTCCGGTGATGCACTTCACCGTTTTCCGAAGATTTGATTTTCTGATCCGGCCTTGTTCATCCTAGCCAGCCAGCTAGGCGGCGGCGACTTGCAGGTGAGTCTGAATCCCCGTTGCGGAACCAGACAACAACCCGCGCGGCCCTTTTCTTCAAATTATTCTCTCAATTCTCAAAGCAGTTATGGTTCACTCTGGCTAATCTGGATTCAGGGTTTCAGGGTTTGTGGGTGGGCAAAGAGAGTTTCCGTAAAACCAGAGCCTCGAGAACAAAAACACGTAGTATAAAATTATCCATATGAGATAGAAGCTCACCCCATTGTGGATTTCTTTGTCAATGTCATATACAATAAATAATATTAATGTGAAGACAAAATTGTAAGTAATGTCATTTTTATATCATTGCCATTGTTTTTAACAATGTCATTTTTTATTTCATTGTCATTGTCATTATTTGACATTGTGACAGTTTTTCGATATTTTGATAGTTTTCAGATATTGTCAATTTTTTACAATGGAATGACAATGTTACAATATCACAATTTGGTTAGCGAACTAATGACAGTTCTCGACAATGTCACAATATTAATATTTCAATGTCACAATATTACAATGACATGACAATGTCACAATATTACAATGACATGACAATGTTACAATATTACAATGTCACAGTATCACAATGTCATTTTGTTAGTAATAAAAATGTTAATAAATTAAGTCAACATTGACACATTTTTTATTGTCTTTTTGAGTAGTTGTTTTAGTTTTAGTTTACTCAAAGATATTAATTTTCAAACAAGTAAATGATTACATTATCATATAATGACATTGTGTATCATTACATTGTCAATAAGGTATCATACATTTGTCAACAATATTTTTTCTATATATATACACTTTGATTTTTTATAGCACTGATGTTTTTAACAACGCCAATTTTATTAGGAGTGCGCACGGTCCAGTCTAATATAATATTATAGAATTGACAATGTTATGATAATCGTTGACATTGTCATTACTACAATGTCATTTTTATAGTAGTGACATTGTTATTGTTATTTGTGACTATCTCTTTGACATTGTATCATTTTCTCTACATATTGATACAATATGTATCATTTTATGACATTTGAGATTGTGACATTCACAATCTTAAATTGGGGTAATATGGTAATATTATGGTAATATTTGAGATTGTGATACAGAGTATCATTTTAAATTGGGGTTTTTCTTTGCCAAATGCCATTGTTGCACCATTTTGGCAGTGCAAGTTTAATGTATCTCGGTATATGGATATATCTAGAGAAAAACTATCAGCTCACTAACTCTTATTGCCAAACTATTCCAAAATTGAACATGCCCAGCGCGCAATAACTCCAGAGATGTCTTCACAGGCACGATGCATAAGCTAACAAACACCGCCCATCCAAATTTCCACTAAAAAAACTACTTGAAGCGCTGCGATTAAAATCAAAACAATAGCAGGGAAGAAGAACAATCACATAAGATGAATAGAAGATTAAAACCGTAAGAAAAAGGAGAAAACTAGAGAAGAGAATGTCCAAACAAGCAAAACAAAAAGTAAAATTGAAAAAAAAAAAAAAAAAAACTATTCACGCCAAAGGAGAGCAGCACTAGTACTCCAACCGGCCAATATCCTACGGAGTCCTTTAATTTAGGCGCTGCGGTTGCTCAGCTAGGGCAGCTTTTATCTTTGGCGTTTCAGAAAGAAGACCACGCGGGAGGACAAAGAGGAGTAGCTTTTGCGGAACAGTGTGTGGTGGTGGACGGCGGTCGGCTGCTCCCGACGGCTGGCTACGACTGCAGTGGTTGCGGCAACTCCCATTGGCGGTATACGAATCGAGTAATGCAATTGCTAATTGCGGAGTGGAAATTAAAAATCCAATACAACTTCTACTCTTCGATCTCTTGAAAATTCAATGCCCTCAGCCACAAAGAATGCTCCGTATTAATCAAGGGTATTTTTGTCCCTCCAATTAATTTTAGTCCTACTTAGGTATTTAAAAGTAGTCGGTCCTATTTAAGTTCAGAGGTAATGTTTTAATCCTATTAGAGTCTTTCTCCCATTTTTTTGTTATGGATGGGAGGGAGTATATGACTTCATGATTCCACAAAATTTTCGAGAAAACATATGCACAACTCGTCAACTTGGCTATGGTGTGGCGTGGACACCTTGAGAAAGCTGTTGGCTAGTGACAATTAATAGTTGTTACAAAATTCCCTAACAGATTTAGCTGAGATATTTATGTTTTTTGGGGGTCCATAGATATACGATGGACCCATAATCACTCATTTCTCTCTTCTTCATTATCATTGCTGTCATGTAATCATGTTCATATTTGATCCGAAACAAATGACGTGAGGTAGGGAGTATATAATGATATAATCCACTAGACCACACACTCTTCGTTCTTTTTTATTAGTCCTCTTAGAGTTTGGCACTAGTTTTAATAATAAAGTAGTAAAGTAAGTATAGAGTATGTAGGATAAATGATAAAGTGGAAAAGATGGTATATTAAAAAGAGTAAAGTGATGATAAAATAGGAAAGAGAGTGTATTAAGAAGAGTAAAGTGATGGTAAAGTAGGAAAGAGAAAGTAGTTTGTAAAAAGTAAGTGGGGTAAAAGTAATAAAAGTGAGGGTATTTTCTCAAAAACTTTTCTTAAACAGAAAAGAGGACAAATAAAAACAACGTATCAAAAAGGAAAGAATGACTAATAAAAAGAAGGGAGTATTTATCATTTTAAACCATGTGGGTGAAAATTATGTAAAAGAGGGAAAATAAGGGAAGATTGAAAATAATAATTCTAACTAGTGTCCATCCGTCCTTAATAATCTTAACTATCAATTATTTCAGAGTGATCCCAACTATAGAGATCATTTTTTAAAAATAATCCATAATAGGTTACAACCTAATATATCATGTCAATTTTAAACATTGTTTTAAAAAACTTGAATCATTGTTTACTTTTTGAAAATAGATAATGTAAATTTGAATAAAGGAAACTAATACAAAATGATTTTTTTTTTTTTTTTTTTTTTTAACCCGGTAGGTAAACCACCAAAATCAGTGGGGTAGATGCCGGGGAACATCTACCGGATTTTATTAATAAAAAGAAAACAAATACACCAGAAAAGGGGGACTAAGCCAAAACCTTTCCGGGAGGCATTCCTCCCAAAAAACAGACGAAAAAGTAATTGAAAATAACATCAATTGGGGGGGCTGGACCTGACCCAATTAATAAATACATAAACAAAAACAAAGTTAACATCTAATAGAAGGGATACTAAAAATATCCATATAAAAAGCCCTCCTAGCCCGAATAGGAAGAGTATTTGGGCTCGCATAGCATTTTTTAAGGCCCGTGTGATCCAACGCTAAGAAATGGGCCACCCAGTTTCCTTCGCGCATAACATGACCGAAGCTCAGACCTTTCCTCTTCGCAATAAGCTTGGTTTCCTGAATTAGATCTAACCAGCATCTTGCATCTCCTTCACTCAGTAACGCCAAGGCCATAGTCGAATCAGACTCCACCTGAAATCCAGAGTACCCATCGTTAACCGCACAGCGAACAACCTCTGCCAGTGTCTTGAATTCAGCCTCAATCGAAGACGTCGCTGAAAGAGGAAAGCTAATAGCCCAAAGCATCTTCCCCTCTGGGTTTCGAAGAATACCTCCTCCCGAAGCACCATCTGGTGAGTATTTAGCATCCAAGTTCAATTTCAAGTTACTGTGTGGTTTTCGCCAGCGAATAATTTGAACAGCATTACCTCTTGCTTTGAAATTAGGCGTGACCAGCTCTTCTTCCTTCAAAATAATGTTAACAGTGTTGTTCTTAAGTCTGGGAAAAGACCATGCCCAATTACAAGTATATGCTTTAATTTGAGATATGATACTGAGAGTAGTACACGCACTATTGTCAGAGTGATTACCCCAAACCAAATTTGCATAAGATTTCCACACTTGCCAACAGATAATTCCAGGCATATTATGTTTGAAGATATCCATCACACTTTTCTGACCAGCCTTCAACCACCAATTTTTGAAAATGAGACAGATATTCTCACTCAGAGGAATAGGGATTTCAAAAATATTCATAAAATAATGCCAAATGGGTTTAACAATATCACAATGGTAAAAAAGATGCTCCAGAGTATCAGACTGATTTCTGCATAACACACACATGGATGGTTCATTGACAACATTAAACCTCCTGAGTTTGTCAGATGTTGGAATCAGACCTTTAATAATCCTCCACAGAAGTAATTTCACCTTAAGCTCTTGCTGAGGATGCCAAACATGTTTATAAATGAAAGTTTCATCTTGTTTAGGTCTAGCTTCTTCATATGCTGATTTAAAAGTGAAATGACCAGTTGTTTCTTCTTCCCAGATCAATGTACCAATGCTATCAACAGAACAAAGTGAAAAAGCTTCCTCATGGATGCTGCAAATTCTTCTCCAAACGGATGAGTCATAAACTTTAGGTATCATGTTTCCCTCCCTTTTGTATCTTTCTCTAATGAAATCTGCCCATAGAGAAGAGCCAGTCTTCCACTTCCACCAAATTTTGAAGCCAAAAGCTTTTTGAATAGCAAATAGAGACCTAATGCCCAATCCACCTTCCTCAGTTGGGTAGCAAAGACTATCCCAATTGGCCCAGTGATATTTCTTCTTATCATCTCTCATACCCCAGAAAAAAGATGCCATTTTGCTGTTTAAAATTCTGATAACTTTCCTAGGTAAAGTATCAACAGCCATAATGTGAAGGGGCATTGTATTGAGCACATATTTAATCAATACCAGTCTCCCACTTTGAGATAATAACTTTTGTTTCCAAGGAGAAAGCTTCTTTTCAAATTGATTCATAATTGACTCACAATATTCAATTTTGTTTATGCCCTTGTGCAGATGAATACCTAAATATTTTAGGGGAAGAGAGGTCTGATTCATGCCCAAGAGATTTTTGATGTTGCTTATCCTTCCAGGTACAGTTTTGCCACACACAAAAGAGCTTTTGCTAAAGTTAATAAGCTGGCTAGAAGCTTTTTGATATTCCTCTAAAAACTTCTTCAGAACCAATAAAGATCTGGACTCACCATTTAAGAAAATTAGCAAATCATCTGCAAATCCTAAATGAGAGATAGGATAACCTTGCCTTCCCATCCAGTAAGATTTGATTTTGCTATTCTCATAAAGCTCATTTATCCCCCTAGAAAAGGCTTCAGAAGCAATGATAAACAAGAAAGGAGAGAGAGGGTCCCCTTGCTTTACACCCTTGAAAGGCTTAAAAAAACCTTGAGGAGAGCCATTCACCAAAACTGAAAGATAGGTTGACTTCAGATTGTTTTCCACCAACTTAACAAA